TCAAATGTCATTTGGACCAATAGCACTTTTAATTTGATATGACAGCTAGTTCAGTCTTTATGGACTTTGCCAAGACAAAAGCAAAATAAATTCTATCTTAGATGTATTAAGGATGATGTCTATTACACTTTGGCATCTAAATCCCTTTTTTGGTATCACAGATTTGTTATTGTAATTGAAGATGAAAAGTATAATTAAATACATAAAAGACATATGAATGAAACATTTGTTAAATGTTTAGTATGTGCAATGCACTGCATTAAGTGCTGGAAATATAACTACAAAAATAAAATAGTCCTTCATTTTATGTATTGTGTTAAAAATGAGAGAACCCTATTAAATATGTATATAACTCTATATACAGTGCTGTTACAACATATTATCACTGAGATAATGACTCAAATAAAAAATTTAGAATGAGATTTTGACTTGCCTGAAGGCAAAATTTATGTTGCTATAAGTATATTAAATTACATATTCAATATCAATCCATTGAGTACTACTTAAAATTTTTAAATACATTTATACATTTTCTGTACATTAAGTTGTTCTGAGATAATTTAATATGTAATTGCATACTGTATAAGTAATACTATGACTCTACATACAGCATATAATAAAATTAGTATATTTATTGAAAACTAATGGGTTTATCAGCTAATATGCACATCAATAAGGTTCTGTGAAAGTTGATTGTTTATTCAGCTATGTTATGCCTGGGAAAAGTCATTTTTTAAGTAAATTCTGAAGCATATTCACTCTTAAGGGTTACAAAGATTCAATTAATATTTTAATAATTTAATAATTTTAATATTTTTAATAATTGCTTAAATTTTCCTCGTTAGCTTATGTACTAGCAGAATTTGACTGAGCTCTGAGGGTATACAATCTGAGAACCTCAATAAGAAAAAAAAGATTCAAATGAAATAATAAAAAAGCTTGTTTTTATAGGATTTTTGACTTTTAGATTATTGATATTTTAAATAACCAGTTTTGATGAATTTCATATTCCTCTTTAAATTTAAAAGAGGGATGCATAATATTTTTTTTCCTGAAGACCTGAGTTCCATTTCTGGCTCTGCAGCTTAATAACAATGTGACCAAGAACAAATCACTGAACATGTCTGATTCTCAGTTTCCTCATTTGTAGAAGTATGTAGTTTACCTAGATCGTACTTAAGGTACCTTCGAACTCTACTATTCTTTGATTTGAAAAATTACATAAGTAATTTGATATTGATATCAATTCCTTATGTTTAATGCAATACTGTAATTCATATCTTAGATATTTTATAAATAAAACCAAAACACTGCCTAATAAGGACATAATTCCATTTTATGTTTTCTTTTACATAGTTTATTATTATGATTGTTTAGAAATTTGTTATGAGATCCTTTTTACCATTTGACATATGGCACCTGACTACTGGAATTCATTTTTTAAATGGGTTTATTGATGATTTTTACATAACATTCCTTCCCAATATGAATATCTTCCTTCCCTACTTAGGGTGCTTTCCCTTGTAACAACAACAACAAAAAAAAAAAAAATTAAAGGGAGTTCTGTTTAACCAAATGACACAATGGTCATGTTTAAATACATGTGAAATATTTCATACGCATTGATTGCTCCCTATCTGCAATGCAAAAAGTAAAAGCTTATTTTTATTCTTTATGATTACACAGCATTGACTTTTGTTTCATCGTAATTTTTATCTAAATTGTAGTCATTTTGCACATTGTTTTCTTGATTCTGCTTGTTTCACTCTGCTTCAGTTCATATGGCTTCTCATGTAAGGCCTTTTCACAGTAAAAAAAAACACCTGATATTATGCTGATATTTCAATATGACATGGGCATGACTCAGGGTATCATATTTCAGTTTAATGGAATCTCAAACACAAATTATATGTTTGTCATTGGAGGATAAGCCTAATTAAATTCATAGAAGTTCATTAGCAGATGGTTAGTCACAAAGTGATGCTTTTGACCACAGCAATTCGTGAATAATATCTACTAATGAGCATAAGGGTTGCAATCTGCATTATTCAAGGAGAAACTCACACTGCTGAAATCAAGATTCTTAAAGTATTAAACTGTGTCAATACATTAACAATTAAACTGTTGTATCTTCTAAATGTACACTTATTCATGAAAAAGAAGGTTGTGAAGATACAATGTAATTGTAATTGTAAGACAGAATAATAGAATAAAATATCATGAAATTTGGTTTATGCATACACGTCATTGGTCTCTTGGTAGACTACGTAATAAAATGTGAAAACAATCATTCTACAATAATAATTACTATTTATTCCAATTTATAATTCCCTGTTCCACACTTTTAACAAATGTTAGCTCTGTTTCTCACCTCACTCTCCTCAACTACTGCAGTAATTGCCAGCAACTGTCTATCAAATAGGAATTGCTCTATTTGTAATTTGCTGCAGGGTCAGGACCATGGACAGAAAACCGTGCAAAGGAACTTTCTTGGGACTAAAGTCTATTCAAGCTGCTGAACATGCTTAGTCTCTGAAGGCAGTACTTCTGTGTGTACTCATTCCTAAATTATAATAGCGTATAGAAGCTAAAAGTTGCAAAGAGGTGACAAAAGATTCAAGAAGAATTGGATTTACAAATGGATGAGGAGAAGGAGTGTGGTATAGAGATCTGGGAGTCAATGGACCTGGTTTTGTGGAAGAGCAGTAGAGGAAGGAGTTAAGAGATCTGGATTTGAGTCTCTGCCTGTCATTTTCTAGATATTTGGCTTTATGTTTGTCACTGAAGCTTGCTGAGACTCAATTTACAGATTCAAATCCATAAATTAAGGAGGTTGATTCATAAAACTTGTCCTAGCTATAAATGCACAGTTCCAATTTTACCCAGTTAAGTAACTAGTGACTTAAATTCTATCTACCTCAGTTTCCTCGTCTATAAAAAGGTAGCAGTCATATCTGTTCTAACTACTTTATAAGTCTGTGAAGTTGAAAAGAACATAAATTTGAAGGTGCTACAGCAGTTTTAATATTATAAAATAAAATTTATTTCAATTGTTATGAAGAGAGAATAGATATTTAGGTAGTATGTTTTTTTCAAGTTATATAGTGTATTGTATTATATGATATATATATAGTATTGTATTATATAGTGTATATAGTATTATTATTTGTTTTTAAACATGGAACAAAAGGGATTTGAAATCCAACAGGAACAATATATTACAAATATTAGTCATTTTAAAAATGAATTAATTCCATTCTAAACATATATATTTTACTGTTAAGATAGCTTGAAAAGTGAAATAATAGCTGACATTTATTTAGCACTTTAAATAATTATCTCAATTCATCCTTACAGCTACCCTGAGAAGCAGTTTCTATTATTTCCCCATTTTACTGATGAAGAAATAGGTTCAGGAAGGTTATGTGACTTTTCAGAAGGATGGAAGGGAGGGAGGAAGGAAGAAAAGAAAAAAAGAATGGAGGGAAAGAATGAAGGAATAGAAGAAAGGAAGGGGATTGTAGAGAAATGTTTATGGAAGATAAGTCCCCCCAATAACATTATATGGATCATTTAATAACAATTTAAATGGACAGAATAATTTTGCATATGGATTCAATATTGCTTAGGCTGTTGTGCAAATGGAACTCATGCTTTGTGAACCACTATTCCAGCAGTACAGATGATACCCGAGCTCTGAAGCCTCTTAGCTCTGGAGTACAGAAAGATAGTAACTGGGACTGCATTGGTCTATGGTCAAATGCAATGTACTCTTAGAAGAAAGGAAAGGCAAACATAAGAACTACCGGGTTCTGTAACCCTTTCTTGAATTCCTTTTTGAATTCCTTCCTGAACTGTTTAGCCAAGTACTTGAATTTAGCTTCTAGATAAGTGAAGGAAATAAAAAGAAAAGAAAAGAAACCAAAACCCTGCTCTATTTATTGCACTCTAGAGGACTGTCACACATTAATGCCCTTAAGTCCCTGGAGATTTATTTTTATTATTATTATTATTTTTGTACTTCAGTGAAGTTTCTACGGATATATAAATAATGCCTTTCTCAAGCCATCGTCCTTATGTTTCCAGGTTTTGAGAGTATGTTGTGTGTTTGGGGTAGGGTGGGTGGGGGGACCCCTGATTTTTAATTATTTCACATTTCCGGAACGCATTTACTATAGAAGACACTTGTGCTCTTAGAGACAGGGATGAAGTCGAATCAGCCTTCGAGAGACTTTCTATAGCCATAGTGCCTTCTCCATCCAGACCTTATCTACTTTTCATCACTAATTTTTTTTCCCTTCTCTCCAGCTTCTGGTCCCAGCATCTTATCTGGGTAGGTCCAGAATCCTTCTCTCTGTCCACAGCGGTCAAGGTGGAAGATACCCAGAGCTCTCCTAATAGAAATCGTCAGGCTCACTAGGCAGACAGGGCATGTCGTGGTCGCAAGAAGGCTGCTTTTGCTCTGCACTGCTGGACTCCCTCCCCCGCCAGCCGCCGCTCTGGTCTGCCCGTCAGGCGGTCAGACTAAGCTATCAACCCAATCGCGGCACCAGAACCTTCTTTAGGTTCTCCGCCTCCCTGGGCGCGGTGGCCAATGAGCAGTCCGAAGAGGTGGGGTGGGGGGACCCCTTCCTCCCGCCTCTCTAGTTAAGGCCGCTGCAATTAGACTGAGCTCAGAAAGAGAACGAAGGGAGAGCTGGAGGGGTCTGTGTCTGCGCGGGGCAGCGGCGGCGGCGGCGGGAGAAGGTAGTGCACAGCCTGCCCGACAGCTGCATGGGCCAGTGAGAGCCCCCGCGACTAGCTCCGCGCCAAAGGCTAGGAGGTGGCAATAGTGGCAGTAGCGGCGGCGGCGGCGGCCGTGGAGGAGGAGGCGGCTGAGCGGGAGGACTGGGAGGAGGAGGAAGGGGAGAAGGAGGAGGGGAGAGGTGTCAGGCGCCACTGCCATTTGAGCAGCGCCTTTCTAGCTTTTGCGCGCTGACCGCCGCGCCGGAGTGCCCGCTATGGAACAGGAGAAATATCTGCCTGAGCTGATGGCAGAGAAAGATAGCTTGGATCCATCCTTCGTGCATGCAACGCGCCTCCTGGCCGAAGGTAGGTAAGACTCCGGTCTGGCGTTTGATGGGCAGGCATCGACTGGCTGACTGGCTCGTGCCTGGCTGCTGTGGTGTTAGGGAAGTGAAGTTGGGGAAGGAGACCTATCTCCCGGCCACCCAGGCACTGGTTTGCCTAACATCCTAGGCAGATAAGAGTCTGGGCTTGGGAGCATGCAGATGTTTCCCCGCCCTTTTCTTCTTCCACTGCGTTTACATTTTAAATTGGGACTCAACCCATGAGAGAAAGCTACCAAGATTGTGACCTGTCAGGATAATGGGTAAGGAGGATTCTGATAAGGGTTCAAGGATTGCCAGGGGGAAAAGCCGAAAGTGGAAAGGCGGTCTGCAGAAATCAAGGCACTTGGGGAGTGAGGGAGATAGATGGATGATCAGTTGGGAAGTCATTTATGTTCCCGGTAGGATTCCACTCCTGATCCTTAACGAACCTCGTTGCCACCGACCACATTTCCGCAGCATTTTGGAAGGGATCTGATGCCCTTTAAGCCAATCAGACAGTCTTTACCATAGCTGATCTAAGTCATGTTACCAAGTAAGCCAGATGAGACCACCCGTGTATATGTATTTACATGTCAGGAAGCATAAGATGGGATGCTGGTAAATCTATTTCAAGGGTGATGATTAGGCGCTGGGCAAGATGTACCCAGACACAGTTTCGCCAGTTGAACAACTGTTTTACAAAGTATGCATTTTCTTTTGTGAACCTGTAACGTAAAAGACATTACATTCCTAGGGATACATGAGGAGCCTTCCTCACGGAAGGCTCTTGTATGTTGTTAAGATTAAAGAAATGGATAAATTTAGGTTCAAATAATGCTCTTCAACTACAACTTAAAAAAAAAAACAACGCAACAATTAGGACTAGTAGTGATCTATATATTTTAAAGCAACTACAATGGAGAGAGGGGGTGTTCATCAATTATTAATTTCCTTATTATCAAATTAGCCAGAACGCAGTTATGTAGCTTGGGCTGCTGCGGGCTAGTGTTCATTAAAATAAATGAAAAAGTGTTGTTTTTATGAAACATGAAACTGCAGTTATTTTGTTTGTATGGATAGTTTATATAGAAAAAAAATGTGCATTCCACTATTTCATACACAATTAATCCTGGTTTTCAATGCACTTATTTTACATTATAATATATAGATGAAAGTTTGATTAGTGCTTGTACTTTCAAAAGTTAAAAAAAATTTCCTTTCTTTACACTTTTTCTATATAAGAAATTACTAAAGACATTTTTAACAGTATGCCCAATTTAAGTAATTTAATTGACTGAACAACTTAATCTGTGAGAAGAATTTGGAAGAGGGAATGGTTTCCACAATCTTGATTTTTGAATGAAATGTTAAATAAATGAAAGTTGAAAAGACAGTTATTTTTGTCCTCTTTTCCTCTCCTATTAAAAAAAAGCAGGAATAAATAAGAAAAAAGCATAAAAAATATGAGAAAGTACCACTAAAGAAATGTAGTTTTTTAAAGACAGTTAACAAATGAAGTAATGAAAAACTCATAATCATATTCCTTAAATGGAGTACATTTTGAAATATAGAATCACCTTAGCTGTCTGTATCCTGTCCATTTGTTGTAATTGTTTTCTTTGATTTATAAACTCAGTTTTAATCTGATCTACTAATTAAGAATTCTCTTTGGGACAATGGGCTTTATGATTAATAATCAGTTTGAAAAATCAATTGAGTTTGACAGTTTATAAGAGAAACACTAAAGACAGCTGATAGTTCTACTGTGCCTGGTAAGACAATCAAAATACTTAGTATACTTTATTAGGAATCTTCAGTTTGCTGGGGACACATCCTATTTTCCCATGTAATTTAATCTTCTCCCAGCAGGGGGAGGCATCCACTGGTTCTCCAAAGGAGTGAGGGGGGAAAAAGCATTGGGAAAAATTACCAAAAGGAAGAAACAAAAGAGTGAGGCCCAATTCAAATTCATATTGTAGAGGAAATGGGTAGAGAGTAAGATTTCTTCTGGGTTTCTCAACTTTTGGTCAAGGTACATGACACGTGTATATACATATATACTTATTTATGTAAAATGAATGAATGACATTGTGGTATGCTCTGAGTTTACTTAGCGACAAATATAGATGACTATTTAAAAAGGACTGCGGTGAACTATCTTTGGAATCTGTAGGAAATGTTAATATAGACTTCACACTTATATACCTCAAATTTCCCTGTACAAAACCATCTGTCAAACTTTTTGGAAATGATTTCAGTTTTCTATAGAAGCGTCTTAATTCATGGATGTGACAAAGTTGCTAGTAAAAGTGGTATAGGCAAAATAATTCTACATTCTGACTGTAAAAACGAAACAAAACAAAACACAAAGATTTTCAATGAGCAGGAAAGTAAGCTTCAGTGTTTATTTCAGTGTCTTGCTGGCAGACGTGTAACAGTGAGAGCAATAAAAATGATACAGAAGATCTGTTTCTCAAAATGCTTTTCTCGGATGCAGGTGTTAGGTGGGGTAAGGGGTGGAATGGTTGCTAAAAGTTTGTAATAGAAACCACCTAAAATACTCAGTTAATTGTATAATATAGTTTATAATTGCATTATGGCAATCTATTGGCAAATGATGACTGTTCTTATTTATTAGTGTTAAGATAGTCCATGGAGTTAAAATTGCTATGATTGTTTTTCCTTACATTACTTGTGGGATATTGATACCAGAAAGAATTCTCAGGAAACTCTTGGAGGGACCCAAACATTCCACAAATTTAGCCAATATCAAGAACCTATTTTATATATTTTATTTTTAAAAGTAATTTTTAATGTTTTGTTATTTATTTTCTTTAGAGAAATGATGGCTTACAGTATTCTCATTTGACTTAAACATTTTTTGTTGTTGCTGTATGTGGATTATTTTTACATTATTTTAGAAGATAATTTTGAAAGGATAGAAAAATGATAATACAGCATTGCTCTAGTTGGCCCTACTAGAATGCTGAGTTTCCTTGTTAAGATTCTTCAGTTTCCTTATCTGCAGTTTCATATACTTGTGAAATCACAAGTCTGGCCAAAAAAAAAAAAAAAAGGATAAAAGAAAAGAAATGTAAGGAGTACAAATTGCTATAAGAACATTGAAATAAAATAGCTAGCTCTTACCTGAGAGCTGGATCTTGAAGGATGTATATGATTTTAATTGGCAAGGATGTATGTGAGGACATATCATTCTAGACATAAGAAACTTCATAGCAGACATACAAAGATGAAAAAAGACTTAACTATAACAGGTGGCCAGTGGGTAAGTTTGCTGAATATGAGTTAAAACTGAAAAGGTAAATTGCAGACATGTTGCAAGGAGCTTTGAATAACAGAAATTGGAGTCAGGACTTCATTTCATTGGCAAGGAGTAGCCATTGAAATATTCAACAGATCAGATTGGCATATTAGAAAGATTAATCTGTGTTGTGTAAGATGGATTAGAGAGGCACAGATGAGAGGCTCATGATCATTTAAAAGATTATTGCCGAAAACAAAGGCAGATAACTATTATCAAAATTGGTGATGGTGGTGATGGTAGTATACAAGGAAAAGTCTTAGAAGTAGACACTCAAGGAATGTTTCAGTTGTCAAAATTGGTTTATTCTTATGTGTCTATTTTAGTTGGTAGTATCAAATCTACAAGAAGAAGGCTTAGTCAAAATGACAAGCTTCATTGGCCAGCACATGGTGGAGAAGATGTAGTTATTCAAATGTTATCAGAGATAATAGTATGCCAACAATTTGCTCAGTGCAAATAATGAATTAATTTTGTAGATATGTTAATTGGGTTCATTCCTTAGCTCCTATCCCCCACCACACAATTTCCCCCCAAAATATCTATGAAGCAGAGTGAGCAAAAATGTATCTTAAAGGTATTGATACTTAAAGTTTTATGATTATATTGAATATATGTATATATACATTTGCATGCTTGTGCACATGCATATGTTATATATGTATATATGGATTATGTAAGTGTGTATGTATCTATTTATAATAGTGCAAATATATTGTTGGACCTATTCTTCAAAGTCAAGGGCAAAGTGGATTTTTTTTCTAGTTTGTATGAGTATACATTTCAATAGAATATAAACTTCTTCAAAGCAGGGCCTATTTTGCTTTGGTCTTTGAATCTCCAGATTCAGCACGTTAGTCAATGTTTGTGAAAGGAGTTGAAATGAATTGTGTTTGTTATAAGCACCAGATGTTATTTACAACTTCTATGAGCAAAGCAGCACCTTGCCAGGGTGCTGAAGATAGAAAGAAGTATAATATAGTTCTTTCCCTCAAGGTGTTTGCTGTCTAGTTGTAAAGATTGGAATATATTCAAAGACTCCAAAGAATCTGTAATCTCATTAATATATAATTTCCATACAATGTTGTTAAAAACAAACCATCCATACCTGTCTATACTATGCAACTTTTATCCATGGCCTTCCAAAATTTTACCATAATGGGTCCACTCAATATACTGGAGTCTTCTTTATACTTTCCCAATATCACAAGGGTGCTAGTGGAGTGTTCTGACTGTCTACTTGTCTCAGTGGGGAATTCCAACAGGAACAGAAAGAGACATGACAATGTTAGAAGTGTACAAAGGCTTGGCTGATAGAGAATTGGACTTGGAATTAAGCAGACCTGTGTTCAAGTTCCACATTAGACACTTACCATTTGTGTCATGAAAGATAAGTCTCTTATCTTCATGAAGTCTCACAGAATTCTCTGAGACCATAAATTGATCAAAGAAGTCCTATACAAACAAAATTGTAGATCCTTATATGCATGGACATAAATAACAATATGATGCCTTAGCACAGATAATTACTCATATCTAGAATGCACTTCCTTTTCACCTTTACCTCTTAGAATCCCTGGCTTCCTACATGACACACTCTGGTGCCACCTCCTTGATGAGGCTTTTCCTGATATCCCAGTTGTTAATGTTATCTCCTTCCTGAAATTACTTTCTAATTC